CCAAAACAGAGAGTGTTCCAAGTTGAACAGAGGACACGTGGAGGGAGCTTGCAAAGTTTCAAGGTAAACATGCGGGGGCTAGCATTATAGTTGACAACAAGTGGACTATCTTGTGGGTTTGCACAAGAGTGGACGTCGTTCCAGCAGCGTTCGGAACAGGCGCTTTCAAAACCCACACAGGGAAAGGCCTGCAACTTGAGGACAAGCAGCATTCATTTTTGAAAGGTGTGAATGGCAGTTGTCTGGCTTGCAAATCCGCCAAGCTATGACGGAAGCTCCTCGCACTGTTTTGGAACAGTTTTGCACTTGGCGCTCGAAGCACTGGCAATTGAAAACTTGCCACCTGCATAAGAGGCGGAAGTACGTTTTCAGTCCAAAGTGCTGATCAAGTGCATGTGCCGCTGCTCTGAGCAATGTCTCGCCCTCTTTGTTTCCTGATCTCGGGCATGCCGATACGGAAGACATACTAGCATCGCCAGCCAAGTGGAACCAAAAGAGAGCCAGAACATGCGCGATGTCCGATTCTCCGAGCCTCAGGAGTTTGAAAGCAGGCAGCCACATTTGCAGGTATTTGAGGCGCAAGAAGAAGCACGCTACCGCTTCGCACGTGACTACGAGGCTGCAACCTGAATGAGTTGCGTCCATTAAACACTTTAAGTATGACGTGTGTTTATTTTTGGAATGCTCTCCCATCACGAATAAGCGCCTGTTGCATCGGTTCTTGCGGAATATTGCGGAATTATCCCAAGGTTTCCCTTTCATTGGCGCTGTTGGCTTGCTGGTTGATGCTAGGCCCAGCGCCTGGCGCTCTACACTAACTCTGTCTTCTGCCTGGCAATGCCTGGAGATGGCCGGACCCCGAAACCTGCTGCTTGCTACGCTGCATCCCGTAAGATTTATGTGTGACGAGTGCTGCTGGCCTTGCATTGCATGATTGGATCGGATGGGAGAATCCGTGCAGCAGAGCACCCATGACGCAACAAGTTTTCAAAATTACATCGCGCCCCTTCGATTGGATGCCCGCCATCAGCTTTGCTCAAGCTGTCAGAGTCCCACCACGTTCAGAACATTTGCAATGCAGAGGCACTCTGCCACTAGCTGTTGCCAGCATCCGACCTACTTGATTTCACTGGCATTTATAGCCTTAGGCCCAGGCAATGCGGGGGAACCAACGAGCACGCGCCAGTAGCCGTTTATGGCAGATGTTCCTGCATGGAGGATAGACACGCCGCTGGGACCAGGCTTCGAGCATCCCCAGTGTAGATCCTACATGGCGCATATCTGCTTTGAGACAGGCGCAGATACGGAAGCTCTGGCTTGGTGCCATGGCCTACAGCCGTTGCCTTGGAATTGAGTGCTGCGCGCCTCCCAATCCCTGACATTCCCTGACCGCATAATGCGTGCTCCCAGTCCAGATCAATTTTCCCAAGGATGGCGAGTAAGCCATGCACTGGTCAGGTGGCGTGGCGACTTTGACCCCAAATGGAGTTCCTGCTCGCAGTCGGAAGCCAGGACGCGTGGATCAGGTTTGCATGAGACAGTTCACTGATCTTTTGTTGAGTTGGCCAGTTGGTGCTCTGGGCTCTACCGGACGCCGCATGGCACGCCCGAGCGACGAATCTTCGCCAACAGGCTAGCCTTCGTGATGTCAGAGGCATCCAGAATCCAGACACGAGTGGAATGATTGAGGCAGGCCCAACGGAAGCCCTTTCAGCCGGCAAAGCCGGCAGGCTTTGGCACTGTCAGCTTTGCAGAGGTGCGACATCCTCACATCCTTCAGCCGTGCTAGCATCGCTAAAACAGCTAGGATCAGGTTCTGTGCAGTTGGAGGTGCAATTGAGATAGTTGCAGCTCACCTAAATTGTGCAGAAGCGTGACTATCCAGCATAAGGTCCGTCATGCACCGATGCTTTGGTGACGTTTTATGTCTAACTTAAGACTCATCCTGAGTCATCTCCGAGACGTGTGGTGAAATGCTCTAGCTTGCTGTCCTTGACTTCTTGTAGTCAGCACGCGTGAGATACTCTTCGGACCCGGCCCAGAACGCCGGCGACGGACTTTGGGCATGGTTTAGATTTGATGACTTGCGAGAGCAAGGCATGGCATGTTTGCGTAGCAAATGCCCACGCGCAACCGCGCGATCCGCAGACGGGCAAGAGTTGGGGAGTCAGAGTTGCTAAAGCCAAGGAAGAGATGTCGCATTGCTGCCCAAAGGTAGCTCGACCGCAAGTTTACACCTGAGAATATTCAGTGTGACCGTATTCAGCCCAGCAGTACACATCCACACTTGTGTAGATCTCCACTCGAAGCACAAACAAACAAAGTGACTTTCTTCCATGGTCATGTCATGAATTGAACCCTTCCAGAACTCTTGCAAAACGCTTTGTACATGTAAGTACAGGTGGTTGATCAGACCACCCTTACCCTCTTGGAATAGCTTCGCTGGCACAGGTATGCAAGATAGGCCTGCACCTCCTACACTACACTTTGAACTCTTGGTACTAGAGATTGACACATACACACACCCTGCCAGCAGGAAGGGGCAAATTTGTCTAGCTGGCGCATTCTACTTTCTTCGAGCAACTCAACTCTCATGGCACTCAATTGCGCGGGGCTGTCCAAGTCAAATGTAGCGGAGTCAGTGGACTTGTTTTTGATTGCTTGAAGGCGAATGCCACGGATCAAGGTTACTGACAAGCTCAGTCTGCGTTTGCTCAAGCTCTCGGATGGTGCTAGCCATGTCAATCTGTTCCTGATGAAAATCTAGAAATTGACAAGTGATCACAGACTGCCACATGCTGCATGTACGCAACTCTCGAAAGCAGAAAGGAAAGTTCAGCTTCGGTTGCCATCTAGAGCCTAACAAGTGCTCCAACGTCCACGCTTGTGTACAGATTGAACCTAGGGGGAAGCAGCTCGACCCACGACTGTCAATGCTGCTGGCAATCTCAGTCTGCGTTTGCTCAAGCTCTCGCATGGTCCTAGCTATCTACTTCTGTTCCAATTGAACATGTCGAAATTAGTAAGTAATCACTGCTTCTGAGCGTGTACACAACGCTTCGATGATGTGATGGACGATTCCAACGGGACTGGCCTTGGATTTCCCAGTCTGCGCGACATGGTCACTGATTTGAGTTGGACCGCCACATAACGATCACAATCGCAACTCTTGGGTGGAGATCATCACGCGTCTGTGACTTACAGCGCCTGGGTCCTATTCAACATCGGAGCAACACATCAACGATTGGAAGCATCACTCTGTGTCAATGCAAGGTCTTGGTTTTGATCAACTTCCCGTGATCATAGGGTAGCACCTGGTCAGAGACATGACCAAGCTTCATGCAAGCCACCCTGCCGCAGGCCGTGCGGAAAACGAATATTGTCGGGAGCACACTCCAAGCACAAGCGAACAATGTCACAATCAATGATCTTGTCACGAAAGCTTGTCGGGCTTGTACTCTGTGCACTCATATGTTGAACCCTTGCACAACCTTTGCAGAACTCTTGCGACATGCTTTGTACATGTAGGTACGGGTGATAGATCAGACCACCCTTCACCTCTTAGAATAGCTTCGTTGGCACAGGTATGCAAGATAGGCCTGCGCCCCCTACACTACACTTTGACGCGCACACACACACATGTTGACTCCAGCACAGAGTTCAGTCATTAGATGTATGCAAGCAGTTGGCTCGCTTGAATTCACGCAAGAAGGACTGTGCGCCTCGAAATCCACGCTAAGAATGAACAAGTTTCTGCAGAACTGACCCAAGGCAAACCAGACGAGCCAGACAGCCTTGAAGCCTCTTAGCCTTCTCATGAGCTTTGGTAAGTTTGCGCGTAGCATGCGAATGCATTTTCGACGCATGTGAAGCATGCTGCAAGTTGTGTCATGTAGCCAAGGAGTTGATGGCAAGCCTACGACCTCCTCCTATCACCCGGCCCGCCAGTGGTGGCCTCAAAGAGTAGGACTGACAAAGGCTCTGCCGACTCCAGTCCAGCTGCGAGATCTTCGTCATCATTTTAAAGCTTGCTTCTGCACAAGAAGGAATTCGTCTTAAGTAGTTTTCCTTGCGTTTTCCTACATGACTGACAATCGGTTTACTCTGCAAGCCTTGTTTGCACACTAAGCTAAATCAATCATATCTTGCACAGTTCCCAACTGCATGAGGTGATGGAGGTGCTGGCACTGGTGGTGCTTTAGCTGTGCTTCAGGCAGCTGATGAATCAGCTTTGCACGAGGGGGCGGGGGATGTTTGATAATTCCACGTGGGAGAGATGCAGATCTCCTTTCAATTTCCAAGGCCTGCTGTTGCTACATGATAACAGTGGCAGACGACAGAACTCAGACTCCTCTATCTTGGATTGACGGTATCCAGTCTGACCCGCTAACAGCCCATAGAGTCCTTTCAATAGCTCAAGCTTAAGAAGTGGGAGACCAGCAACTGAACGGGCCGAATTATTGCCCCATGATGCATTGCCTGAATTTCAGGCAGTACATTGCAGGCAGTACTAGTTGCAGAGTACGGCACCTTGCGTTGATTGCGCAACCCGCTTCCATCTGGGGGCAGCCGACTGAAGGCAGCCCTGCTGCCCTGCTCAGAGCCTCCCTCCCGCGGTCACAGTTGCTAGCTCAGCCCGGCGTGAAATCATTGCAAGCGCAGCCCACTGAATTCCGAATCACGAGAGGCCCAGGCCCGAGCCGAGACAGGGTGCATCCGCCTTGTTTGAAGTCGGAACATTGGAAAAAGCTTGTATTGCAGTGAGATGTAAAGGCTGACCGGCGGCTCCCTCCAAGGAAGCCATCGGGGCTCTCCAGCCTTGGTCGCAGACTTGACATCACTTTACTTGACTGCCCGGCAAGCATCTGCAAGCTTTCTTGGCTTTGCTGTAAGTGGAGGCAGACCTCAATTGATGATCGTAGCAGCTATCTGTCAAGGCATCTGTAGTCCACAGTCAGCTGGCCGAGGCAGGTTTACCACGTTCGCAAAAGAACCAACCTATCCGACATCATCACATGAGCACACTGGTAAGGTTGTGTCGTGCTTTCTGAACCTGTCAGTAAGATTTGGGTTTGAGTTGCACCCTGTGAGTTCTTGGATTGAGCTCAGACTGCAGTACCTCGAAATTGGCAGACCGGCAACATGCCTGTGTAGCAGTAGCAATGCGTCAGCAAAATTCATCAGGTTGGAGCGATTGCAGAAAGTGGTAAAGTTTGTTGCGGGCGAGGAGGGCGTCTGAGATACCAATAGTTTATGCAAAAACAAAGACCATAGACATGCAATTTTTCGCGCATTGCGAAATGGCAAAACCTGATGCACACAGGTATCAATTCCTTGTGATACTTCTCTTTTGCAGATATGGGGTCTGTTGAGATTCTGGTCCAGCGGTTTTCATTTCAGTTCCTGTCATGATGCACAAACGGTTTGTTTTCGATATACTGGAGGTCCTCAGAAGCCGATATCACACACTCTTTGCTGATTGGGGTCAGGTGCAGTTCCCGGCCGCTGAGTTTGCACGGTTTTCTAGTATGCTGCCCTGTCTCGGGTGTAATCGAGTACACAACTGAGACAGCAGTGTGATTGGCTGCGAATTCCAGCCCTAGCTTTCGGGTTCAGAATAGGAAGCTAAACCCAAACCGCACAACAACAAACCGCACAACAACAAACGAGAACAACACCAAAAGTAGCAAAACCAATAAACACCAAACCAAATATACAAAAATCAAAACAAACACAGCGCACATATGCAGGAGCTCCAGATTCGGTATGTCGTGTGGTTTTGGTTTTGTTGGTTTAGTTTATGATATAGGCCGTCCCTACCGATTTATGATATTCACGCTTTTTGCAAGCTTGGGGTTTTGCAGATGTTTGGTTTTTCAGTTGTTGGAGGTATTCTCGAGTTCCGGATTTGGACATAGTTTGTTTTATGTTGCAAATTTCGACATGTCTGCGATTTCTTGTAAACATTTTGGATATTCCGTTCCCTTTTGGAAGTTTGAAAGCTTTGGGCGCCCCTCCGAATCTCCAGTCTCCTGGAATACCGGGGATCTGGAAATAGTAAGTTACAACAATTACCTCGAACATGGCTTGTTCAGCTTGGGCATGTATGACTTGTTGGAAATTTCCGCATGGAATTCTCTAAATTTGGCCTTGGATTTGATCTGGGAGGCCATCTTCATGTTTGGTCCGGATTATAGCACTCTTCCACACCCTTCTGCAATGCTTTTTACATACTTGCTCCATATCCGTTGCAGACCACAAATGTTGATAGTGAGAGCCATCCCATGCGCGTTCCAGACCCTGTAGTCTTGAAACTCGTTCCAGATGCTCCGGATCAAAATTCACGATGCGAGGTCGCGGAGCACCACCTTATCGATGAACATCTATCTCTTTTGTTTGAAGTTTTGGAGCGACTTGGAAGATTTGGGTTTCGTGAAGGTTTTAGTTTGATTCAATCTATGGATGGTCCAGGTCTGGAAGGTTTGGAGTACCATTCAGTATTTGCCTAGTTTAAATTTGATCGAACGCACCCACTGGTTTGAATTGAAAAGACCGCATGGGCCTTGAGGCAGGAGTTTCAACCGAATGGAATTCCTTGAAGCTCGTTTTCCTTGAGCTGATCTGAGCCAATTAAACTCGCTCGCCTGGTACAAGGTAAGCGCCCCAACACTGCAGTTTGAATTAAGCTGCTAGCCAATAGACGGTTTGCAGAAAGCCGATTGGTTGCAATAGTGCTCCTGGTGAACTGGTGGAACT